CGGTGGGCCCACCCTAAGGGGGTAAGTTCTTGATTATCGTCTCAAGGGCTGTCCTGGAAGACGTAAGGAGAAAACACAGAGTTAGACTTACCGGTAACTCCTTTTCTACGAGTCTTCCAGGACAGCCGGTAGTTCCCACCCTTCTAATGTTCAACCAAAATATTTAAGGTTGAGTATATAGATATATACTGTAGTTATATATAATTGTGTCTCAGTGTCTTCTGCTAGTTCTCGATTAAAAACTGAGTTGGAGGCCTGGAGGTCCGCCTTTTAAAGGCGTGGGGGAATGGCGTGTTTCCTGACCCGGAGGGAGGAGCTCTACGTCTCAAGGGCTGTCCTGGAAGGCTCGTAGAAAAGGAGTTACCGGTAAGTCTAACTCTGGTTTTCTACTTGGGGATTATGGGTGGAATATCATGATTAAATATGCCTATGAACACATTTGACCAGTTTCTGAAAAAATTATGAAAATAGTTATTTTTCTACATGGGGATTATGGGTGGTTAATTGCAGAGACACATGAAAAGGACCATATATGCACTCTTTCTCCTAAGAATATGGGTATAGTTATTTTTCTACATGGGGATAATGGGTGTTTTATTATGGATACACATGGCAAGAACCATATTTGACCTATTTCTGAAAAGATTATGGGCATACATATTTTTCTACATGGGGTTTATGGGTGAAATATCCTGTTTTAACATGTCTATGAACACATTTGACCCCTTTCTGATAAAAATATGAAAATAGTTATTTTTCTACATGGGGATTATGGGTGTATTATTGTGGATACACATGCCAAGGACCATATTTGACCTGCTTCTCCTAAGAACATGGGTATAGTTTTTTTTTTCTATATGGGGATTAAGGGTGGAATATCATGGTTAAACATGCCTAGGAACTATTTTGACCCCTTTCTGATAAGAATATGAGAATAATTATTTTTCTACATGGGGATTATGGGTGGAATATTGTTTTATAACATGCATAGAAACACATTTGACTCCTTTCTGATAAGAATATGAGAATAGTTATTATTCTACATGGGAATTATGGGTAGAGATATACATGGCAAGAACTGTATTTGACATGTTCTAAGAATATGGGTATAGTTATTTTTCTATATAGGGATAAAGTGTGGAATATCATGCTTAAACATGACTAGGAACACATTTGACCCCTTGATGGTAAGAATATGAGAATATCTATTTTTCTACATGGGAATTATGGGTGGCTAATTGCAGATACACATGCCAAGGACCTTATTTGAACTATTTCTCCTAAGAATATGGGTATAGTTATAGTTAGTTGTTTCTCTATATTGGGATTATAGGTGGAATACCATGGTTAAATATTCCGTGGAACCCCTTTGACCCCTTTCTGATAAGAATATGAGAATAGCTATTTTTCTACATGGGGATTATGGGTGGATGATTGCAGATATACATGCAAAGGACTATCTTTGGTCTGTTTCTGCTGAGAATATGAGTCTAGTTATTTTTCTATAAGGGAATTATGGGTGGAATATCATGGTTAAACATATTAAAATATATTTCCTAGGCATGTTAAACAATATTCGACCCATAATCCCCATGTAGAAAAATAGCTATTCTCATATTCTTATCATAAGGGTCGAATGTTTTCCTAGGCATGTTTAACCATGATATTCCACCCATAGTTCCCTTATAGAAAAATAACTAGACTCATATTCTCAGGGGAAACAGACCAAACCTAGGAAAACATTCGACCCTTACGATAAGAATATGAGAATAGCTATTTTTCTACATGGGGATTATGGGTCGAATATTGTTTAACATGCCTAGAAATATATTTTTTGACCCCTTTCTGTTTAAAATATGAGAATAGTTATTTATCTACATGGGGATAAAATAAAACATGATAATTTGCAAAAATGGCAGACAGTTAGAGACCAATGAATTAGTGAACAAAGAGCCATGATTATCACAAAATCCACAAACAGAAGGCAGGAAAAATAAAACACAGAGCCTCACTGAATACACATTGGTACTCCACACCCAGGACTCCCGAGGAAGTCCAACAGGTCAATATAATATTGCTGGTACTGTTCTTAAAAAAAAAAAAAAAGAGTCACAATCAACGCAAATACCATGAAAACAGACAGGATAGAGAAGAGAAAGGGAGAAACGCAGAAAGAAAAGAGAAAGGACAAAGAAAGGGCTCCAGGGGACTGCGACGGAAAAAAAAAAATCATATATCGACAAAAGGGTCTGGTCAGGTCTAGATGGTTGGGCTATATCAAGCCAGGGGCGCCAGATCTGCAGAAACTTTGTGTGAGTGTCTAACAGCTTAGCCGTCAGTTTCTCATTAGCCATTATAAAATTCATCTGATTTTTGACTGCTTCGAAGTTGAGGAGGGGGGTCTTCCAAGCCTTCACGATCGTTAGTTTGGTAGCCATGAATAGATGCGATGCCAACTGCCGCTCAGGATGAAGTAGGCCCACTAATGGTTTAAATAATAGCACCTCGTATGGGTTGCACTTGATGTTTGTGTGAAACATAGTGCGGAGAAGGGCGTAAACCCTGATCCACAGTCTGTAAACCTTGGGGAAAGTCCACCAAATATGGGCCATGGTGCCTATTTGTTGACAACCCCAAAAGCAAGTCGGGGAGTATGCAGGGATAAAACGAGCCAGATGGGCAGGCGTGTAATACCGTCTATAAAGGAAAATTTAGACAATGCCTGGGTCATGATCCACCAGCCTTGCTGATCCAGACTTCCTCCAAGTTCCGATTGCCAATGTTGGTGGTAAGAATGAACCGGGCGCGTTCCATAAGAGATAATAGCGGAGGAAACAAGGGAAATTAAGCTCGGAGCATGGGATCTATGTCTGCAAATACTTTCAAAGGGGATCAGCCTATAGGGTCCCGCATGCTTCTGTATTAATGTATTGATAAAGTGTCAGAGTTGAAGGTAGCCAAAGTGCTCCCACAGTGGGATATTGTAAGAGGAACGCAGAGTCTCAAAGGTGAATATCTGGGTAGGAGAGAGCAAAGAATGTACAATGTGGAAGCCATGGGCTAACCACCATACAAACTGTCCGGGATTGTCACTGCCAAATAATGGGTTATGAAGCAAATGCAGCAAAGGCAGATGATCGGAAATTAGACCAGCGGAATATTTAATAGAATCCCAATGTTGAAGCGTGTGTGTCAATGGCGGACCAAAAGGTGAAGGGAAATAAATAGGAGGAAGCCACGGCAAAGAAGAGGGTGGTATCGGGTGGGAGTCCATCAGTTCTACAGTAGCCCACAAGGGGATATTGCAAGATGCGTGCAGATGGGCTAAGGGAGCAATATTAGCCACTAGATAGTAAGCCTGAAGATTCAGGACAGACAACCCACCCTCGAGTGGAGCCCCAGATAAAAGATAGAAGTTTCAGCTGATGAATGCGCAATATATGTGAAGGGACAGGGACCGGTCTTGAAACATATACAGTCATTTAGAGAAATAAGTCATACAAATCGCATTGATTCTACCGAACCATGAAAGCAGACAGTGAGTCCAGGAGGACAACATCTCTGTCAAATCCTTAAAAACAGTGGGGAAGTTAGCCCGATGACGTCCTTCATAAGTGGGGGTTAGCTTAATCCCGAAATACGGCAAGGCTAACAGCCATGAAGGCCTGAAAGGGCAGTGTAGGAATCCAGAACCGCGAGTAAGTTTGGCAGAGTAACCTCCGGTTTTGTAACTGACACTATATATCGTCAGCAAAGAAGGATAACATATGCTGAGAACCGCAACATCCAGTCCCTTAATAGCCAGAGGTTCCAAAGCCAAAATAAATAATATGGGGGAAAGCAGGCAGCCCTGTCTAGTACCCCTACCAATTGGAAATGTTGGAGACTCAAAACCGTAATATTTGAGTTTTGCTTAGGGAGCGTGTATATAGTGACGAAATCCAGCGCAAGAATGAGGGACTGAAATCAAGATGGTGAAGGACCAACATGAGGTAAGGTCAAGATAAGGTTTCAAAAGCCTTATTGATATCCAAAGATAAGAGCATCATATCAATTTTGCAAGTATGAGGCAGATGTTGTAGCTGCAGAATTCGTCTGATGGCGTCCTCCGCTTGTCTATGTGGGACAAAACCCACTTAATTGATCAGACGAGAAAAAAAGAATTCAAACGGGTGTCTAAAATTTTAGTTAGGATTTTCATGCTGATGTTAATAAGAGAAATTGACCTGTAATTTGCCCAAGAGGAATGGTCTCGATCAGGTTTCGGGATCATAACCACATTAGCAGTCAGTGAATCGGAGTAAAAACCCAAACCTCCCTTCACCACATAGTGGCAAGGTGAGGAGCAAGCACATCAGCTAATTTCTTGTAATACAAAGCTGTGTATCCATCTGGGCCTGGGCATTTGCTCGTCTTCAAATCAGCAATGCAATGCAACACCTCCGATGTTTGAATATCACGGTCCATCAAATCTTTATGGGCCTGAGTCAAAGTAGGCAAAGACAGACGGGACAAGAATTCAGAAATAGCCTGGGGATCAGCCTGCGTGGGGTCTTTATAAGGGTTAGCAAGGCGATGCTGGAATTCCTCCAACACCACTACAGGATTACTAGTTAGAACATTATGTTGAGTGCGTAGAGAGATTGGCTTAGGGTGGTGCGTAAAGGAACGCAGTCTATGTGCTAACATGGAATCCAGTTTGTTTGCTTTACTGTACCACTTCTGACGCATCCAACGCAACGAGCATTCTGCATCATCTGTTAAACAAAGATCCAATTCCAGGCGGGCCTGATCTAAAAACTTACAGTAAGAAGGGGTCGGTGTTTGCTTAACCACCTCCCACCTGTCATATAGTAAAATGAAGGGCGCAAGGTGGTTCTCTCGTTCTGGGAGGACGTCATATGATGTCCTCCCATTCTCACCGTGCATGCGCGGCTCAGGGAGCGTGCAGCGCGGCGATCGGCGGTGCGCTGTGTCCCTTGGACACAGAGGATCACCGATTCATCGAAAGAGCCGAAGATGTCGGCTCGGTCATCTGATCAGCTGTGTCCAATCACAGCTGATCACATGTAAACCGGGAAATGCCGGTTATCGCATTTCTCTCCTCTCGAGCTGTCACGCTGACAGCTCAAGAGGAGAGGAGAGCCAGTAATTGGCATTCCGCGGAGGGGACATGTACACTGATCATCAGGGCACTGGTGATCAGTGTAGCCCCAGCAGTGCCACCTGTCAGTGTCCATCAGTGCCAGCTGTCAGTGCTCATCAGTGCCACATGCCAGTGCCCATCAGTGCCACATCAATGCCACATATAAGTGCCTACCAGTGCACATCAATGCCACATATCAGTGCCCATCTGAGCTGCCTTTCACCCATCAGTGCCTGTCACCCATCAGTGCCAGTCAGTGCCACCTATCAATGCCAATTAGTGCCACCTATCAGTGCTGCCAATCAGTGCCAGTCAGTGCCACCTATCAGTGCCACCTATCAGTGCCAGTCAGTGTTGCCTAACAGTGCCGCATGCCACCTAACAGTGCCACCTAACAGTGCCGCATATCAGTGCCAGTCAGTGCCACCTATGCCATATATCAGTGCTGCCTTTCAGTGGCCATCAGTGATGCCTGTCAATGCCCATCAGTGCCACCTACCAGTGCTCTCCTCATCAGTGCCATCTATCAGTGTCCATCAGTGCAGCCTATCTGTGCCCATCACTGAAGCCTCATTAGCGCACATCAGTGAAGGAGAAAAAACACTTATTTACAAAATTTTATAACAAAAACTAATAAAAAAACTTTTTTTTTTCAAAAATTTTCAGTGGTTTTTGGTTTGTTTAAGAAAAAATAAAAACCCAGAGATGATTAAATACCACCAAAATAAAGCTCTGTCACAAAAAAAGATAAAAATTTCATATGGGTACAGTGTTGTATGACCGCGCAATTCTCATTCAAAGTGTGACAGCGCTGAAAGCTGGAAATTGGCCTGGGCAGGAAGGGGTATAAGTGCCCTGTAAACTTGTGGTTAAATTGAGCTGAAGTAGAAGCTAACTTTGATTCAAACTGACACTGTTTGTGTTGCCTCTCTCTCCTGCGCCTCGAAGCTACCTGAATAATATGGCCCCAAAGGACAGCCTTGTAAGCTTCCAACAGCATCACAGAAGAGACAGAACCCGAGTTAGGCTGAAAATATTCCTGGGATTTGCGCAAAAGTTCCGCCTGAACCTCCTTCAGTGAAAGCAGGGAGTCTTTCATAATCCAAGAGGAGTAGGATGGCTTACAGAGGAGAGATAAAAAAAACCCACCAAAATGGGGTCGTGATCAGACCACGGTACCGTAAGAATAGAAATGGAACGAACAAGAGGGAGATGTTTATGTAACACAAAAGCATGGTCAATTCTAGAGTGGGAATAATGAGGATGAGAATAATGAGTGTAGTCTTTCCCCGAGGGTGGAGCTCAAGCCATAAATCTACTAAGTCATGGGTTCGTACAATGTGGGTAAAGATTTAGCTGCAGCGGAAGGATTAGAGTCTTCCAGGGGTATTTATCAAGGGTAGGATTTAAGACTAAGTTGGAATCTCCTGCTACCAGGAGAGTACCCCATTGATGAATTGCCAGAAGGGAGCAGATATGTGATAAAAAGGGTTCAGGATTGATATTGGGAGCATAGTAGGTCAAAATTGTGACATCTACACCCAGAATTGTGCCCTGTAACAAAAGATACCTACCACTTGGGTCAGCAATATGCTTCACACAGACAAATGGGATTTTCTTGTGAAAAAAAAAAAAGAACTCCCCTTTTGTTTAGTAGGGTCAGTAGCCTGAAAAACCTGAAGATAGCGTGCATCAAAATATTTGGGGCTAGAGGTGGTTGAAAAATGAGTTTCTTGCAGACAAGCAATATCCACATGGCGAGCCCAGAGAAACTTAAATTTCTTCACCCATTTTTGAGGGAAATTCATTCCCTGAACATTCAGGAATAACCAATTCAGCAACATGGCAAACAAAAAGGAAAAAGATCGCCTCTGTCAAAATCCCTGGGAAACGTGAAAAAAAGTTGGTGAAAACACAAAACACACAAGACAAGAAACCAGGAAAAGAAAAAAAAAGGCAAGAAAGAAGACGAGAAACCGTCTAATATACAAACAATATACATTTGATACAATAATATTAAGTGCAAATATCATAACATCCAACTGTGGATGAAAAACCCACAAAAAGGCTGAGTAGTGGGCAGGATGACAGTCCAGTCCACAAACCAGCTCGAAGGGGGACTTACGCAGTAGTCCACTGGAACCACTGGACTTAGCTAAAACAAAAGAAATAATAGGAGACAAGTCAGCAAAACAACTGAAGAGTGTTACCCAGAAATTAAACCGCTGGTCGATTCCGAGCCGTCCTGTAGTAGGCGCTCTTTAGTGCGGTAAAAAGTGGAACTTAGTAATAATGTCCCTGGGAGTGCCCTCTGTGGGTTTAGGGGCTAAAGCTCTGTGGATATAGTCACATTCCAATCGTTCCCATGGGGATTTCAGGAGCCAGTTCTTGAAAAAGGGCAGTAGCAGTGCCCTGTAAGTCGGTAATCACTTCCGGAACCCCGTAGATACGGAGATTGTCTCTACGGGCCCTGTTCTCAAACATCTTCCAATTTATCCTTTAAAGTGTCCAGCTCAGCATGCAAATCCTCCACCTCCTGTTCATGGCCCTCCAAAACCGTAGTCGCTAGATCCATACACTGTTCTAATTGGTGAGCACGATGCCCCAATTCCTTAGATCCTTTACCAGATCAGAGGACAGCTTGCGAGAGGCAGTTGTAATCTCTTCCCGCACAATGGAACGGAATTTAAGTAATAAGGCTTCAGGAGTGTGGTTAAAAGAGCTGGTTAGAACAGAGGGAAACTGGTGCTGACTGTCCTCACCAGAATTCGGATCTCCTGTGAGCTTCGTGGTGTCATCAAGCTCAGGAGGGCTGGGCACCATCTTCTCGGGCTGCCAGAGCGGGAGTCTTTTTCTGCTGAGCCCGGTGTTTGTGCTTAGTGCGTGGGGTGCCTCTTCGGGTGTGGAACGGATGTTCCACAAGCAGCTCCGACTTTTGTATCAATTAGAGATGAGCGAAGAAATGAAAAATTCGATTCGGCTGATTCGGCGAATTCCAGTGTGAAATTCGATTCGATGCAATTTCTCCGCTACGAAGATGACTTATTTAAAGGGTTTTCTAGGCTTCAGAGAGCCTTTAAATTAGTGCAGAACACTGTACCTTTAATTTAAATGCCCTTGGAGATGAGGAAGGGAGAAGGAGAAGGATGAGAAGAAGGAGAAGGATGAGAAAGGATGAGAAGAAGGAGAACACAATGAGAAGGATGAGAAGAAGGAGAAGGATGAGAAGGATGAGAAGAAGGAGAAGGATGGAGAAGGATCATTGCGCGTCAGAAGAAGGAGAAGGATGAGAAAGAAGGAGAAGATGAGAAGGATGAGAAGAAGGAGAAGGATGTGAAGGATGAGAAGAAGGATAAGTGATGAGAAGAAGGAGAAGAAGAAGGGATGAGAAGAAGGAGAAGGATGAGAAGAAGGAGAAGAAGAAGGATGAAAGAAGGAGAAGGATGAGAAAAGGAGAAAGGAGAAGGAAAGGATGAGAAGAAGGAGAAGGAGAAGGATGAGAAGAAGGAGAAGGAGAAGGATGAGAAGAAGGAGAAGGATGAGAAGAAGGAGAAGGATGAGAAGAAGGAGAAGGATGAGAAGAAGGAGAAGGATGAAAGAAGGAGAAGGATGAGAAGGAGAAGGATGAGAAGAAGGAGAAGAAGAAGGATGAGAAGAAGGAGAAGAAGAAGGATGAGAAAAGGAGAAGGAAAGGATGAGATAAGAAGGAGAAGGAGAAGGATGAGAAGAAGGAGAAGGAGAAGGATGAGAAGAAGGAGAAGGAGAAGGATGAGAAGAAGGAGAAGGAGAAGGGATGAGAAGAAGGAGAAGGAGAAGGATGAGAAGAAGGAGAAGGAGAAGGATGAGAAGAAGGAGAAGGAGAAGGATGAGAAGCGAAGGAGAAGGAGAAGGATGAGAAGAAGGAGAAGGAGAAGGATGAGAAGAAGGAGAAGGAGAAGGATGAGAAGAAGGAGATAAGGAGAAGGATGAGAAGAAGGAGAAGGAGAAGGATGAGAAGAAGGAGAAGGAGAAGGATGAGAAGAAGGAGAAGGAGAAGGATGAGAAGAAGGAGAAGGAGAAGGATGAGAAAGAAGGAGAGGATGAGAAGGATGAGAAGAAGGAGAAGGATGAGAAGGATGAGAAGAAGGAGAAGGATGAGAAGAAGGAGAAGGATGAGAAGAAGGAGAAGGAGAAGGATGAGAAGAAGGAGAAGGATGAGAAAGAGGAAAGGATGAGAATGAAGGAGAAGGATGAGAAGAAGGAGAAGGATGAGAAGGATGAGAAGAAGGAGAAGGATGAGAAGAAGGAGAAGGATGAGAAGGAGAAGGATGAGAAGAAGGATGAGAAGAAGGAGGAGAAAAAGGAAAGGAAAAGAAATGAAGGACAGTTCTGTGACAGTTTCTGTCTATTTCTGACAGATCTGGGACATTCACTCCATACAGCTGTTTTAAAATATAACCGCTGTATGGAGGGAATGTCATGGAACTGTCAGAAATAGACTATTAATGACAGTTCTGGGACTGTCCTTCCATACAGCGGTTGAAACATTGTATGTATTTGTTTTCCATAAATGGATCCATTTATGGAAAAAAAATACATACAATGTTTCAACCGCTGCATGGAAGGACAGTCCCAGAACTGTCATTAAATAGTCTATTTCTGACAGTTCCATGACATTCCCTCCATACAGCGGTTTTGAAACACCTGTATGGAGTGAATGTCCCCAGAACTGTCAGAAAATAGTCAATTTTTGACAGTTCTGGGACATTTCCCTCCATACACGCGGTTTCCGGCAAAAAGTGTATGTGCTTCCTCTATTCTGCAGATACACTTAGAGGAGCTCTGCAGATACACTTTTTTTTTTTTTCCGGCTTGGAATTATTTACTTATTTTTCATCCTACTTCTTCTTCTTCTTCTTCTTCATCCTCTTCTTCTTCTCTGAGGATGAGGATAAAGAAGAAGAAGAAGAAGAAGTAGGATGAAAATAAGATTTAATTCCAAACAGGCAAAAAGTGTATGTGCAGAGCTCCTCTAAGTGTATCAGCAGAGCTCCTCTAAGTGTATCTGCAGAATAGAGGAACTCTGCACATACACTTTTTGCCGGCTTGGAATTATTCTTTTTTCATCCTACTTCTTCTTCTTCATCCTCAGAAGAAGAGGATGAGGATGAGGATGAGGAAGAAAAGAGAAGGAAAAAAAAGAATAATTCCATGCCGGCAAAAAGTGTATGTGCAGAGTTCCTCTATTTCTGACAGTTTCTCTCACAGCTTCTTTCACATGTACAGCGGTTGAAACATCTGTATCCTAAATGGAAACTAATAGATACAAATTGTATCTATTAGTTTTTACCATTTAGGATACAGATGTTTTCAACCGCTGTAGCATGTGAAGAAGCTGTGAGAGAACTGTCAGAAATAGA